TTTATGCACCTCTATTTATACCCTCATCCCATATTTTGATATATTCATCCATCCCAACTTAGTATTCACTATGAAAGTCTCTACTTCCCGGCTCATAGGGTTCTTCCTCTTATTTTTCTACCATTGCGAAGCATGCGCATATTACAAGTTTGTTGTAAGTACATATTCTGTTATTTTTCAAATCAAAGATCACAATACCATTGTATTTATCATAAATTGTTTTCCTAGGTAAAGGAAGTTCCATATACAAGATTATGCAGCACGAAGAACATACTTACCGTGAATGGCCAATTTCCGGGACCAACAATATACGTTCAAAAAGGAGACACCATCTTTGTAGATGTTTACAACAGAGGAAGCTATAACGTTACCATTCATTGGTATTATCTTAAAACGATTTAGTCACTACTTGAATGTAAAACAGAAAGGAGATTAGATTATCATTACTCATGATGGTGAGTGGCATTTTGGCAGGCATGGAGTGAGACAGCCAAGAAATCCATGGTCGGATGGTCCAGAATATATTACACAGTGTCCAATTCAACCAGGAGAAAAATTTAGGCAAAAGATCATTTTCACTACCGAAGAAGGAACTTTGTGGTGGCATGCTCATAGTGAGTGGTCACGAGCAACTGTCCATGGTGCTATGGTCATATATCCCAAGATGGGAACAAGCTATCCCTTCCCTGAACCTGATGCAGAAATTCCCATCATTTTAGGTATTTAAAAAATAAAACAATTATAAACCCATAAAAACAAAGAATTTCTTTGTTTATATAAGGATTTAGTTGGAATATTTGAGATTCTTACTCAAAATGCAGGACAGTGGTGGAAAGAAGATATAGTGATGTTATACGAGACATTCCTTCCCTCCGGCAACATAGAAAACGTTTCCAACGCCTACACCATCAATGGCCAGCCTGGTGATCTTTATGCCTGCTCTAAACAAGGTAGAACCAGTTAATTACTTTCTAGGATATCAAGCCGATTAGGAAATATAAAATACTTTTTAATATAAATTTTCTTGTAAAATAATGATTATTATACCTTTCAATTCAACATACTTTTTTTATATTTATTTAATTTAATTATTAAAAAATAATAAAAATATAATACATTCTTGTGTTATATATATATAATTGCATTTTTAAACTTATCTACTTTTAATTTCAAAACAAAAACTAATAATTTTTAATTAATATATTGTTTAATATATTAACTCAAACAATATACTAATCAGTCTTATTTCTCATATTAAGACAACAATGTTGTCAAGATAAAATAATCATTTATGCTAATATATTAGTACTAACAAATGCATGTAATATAAAAGTTAGTACTAACAGTCTTTACGTAGTTTGTTTTTTCTTCCTACAAAAATTGAAGTTATTTCTTAATTTTAATTTACAGTCTAGCTATCACCAAAATTTTCTCTTTATGTTCATATTGAGAAATATTAATTTAGGTAGGTAAATACATAGCGTCTCCGAATTCTTAATATTTAAAAAAAGTTAAAAACACAATAGGTTTTTTAAGACGCGAGTATATGTGTAAAAAAAAATCTCAATTTAACTAATTTTTATTAAGATCTCTTTTTTACAAGTTAACCGAAAAATAAATCCTTAAATAAGGAACTACCTAATATTAGGAAGACTTTCTTTTTAAAGATAGTGAGTAGACAGTTGCATTTTTTTTTTCTTTCATTTTTTATTTTAAGAAAAGTTGTGAGTGCTAATTATTGCCTGCCTACTTCTTTTTTTAAATATTTACAGAAACATTCAGATTTAACGTGGAGAGGGGTTTAACTTATCTCCTTCGAATAGTCAACTCTTGCATATCAGATAGCAACTTCTTCTCCATTGCCAACCATAATCTCACTGTGGTCGGATCCGACGCCAGCTATCTAAAACCATTCGAGAGAAGCATCATTAGCATTGCTCCGGGCCAAACCATTGATGTCCTTCTAGAAGCCAACCAAAGTCCCAATCACTATTACATGGCCGCTAGCGTGTACACCGTTCTTTTCAAAGGTCTCTTCAACAACACCACCACCACAGCTATTGTAGAATACAGTGGAAACTACACTCCATCCTGGCCGCCAGCATTCCCCTTTCTTCCTCTCTATAATGACTCACAGGCATATGATAATTTTACCGAATCTTTTCGGAGCTTAGCTGATAAAGAGCATCCAATTGACGTGCCAATGGAAATAAACACACATTTGTTTTATACGATCTCAATGAACAGTCTATGCAAAGACAACTTCTGTCCAGGTATTCTATTTTGAAGTATACTTAATTTTTTTATTAATTAAATACAAAAATATTAATTACTCAATAAATATTATTTTTATTTTTTGATCAGCTCAACAAAGTGAAATCATAAATATTATTTTTATTGCTCAAACTTTATATATAATTTTGAATTTTTCATATGTAGTTTTCTACTTGAATTAGAGGAATTAAGGGTTAAGATTTGTATAATATCATTATACAGGGGCGATTTA